ATGCCCTTAATATCTTTTTCCTGCCTAATCGCTATTGCAAGTACTTCCAGTACTATATTGAACAGCAGTGGAGAGAGTGGGCATCCCTGTCTCGTCCCTGATCTTAGAGGGAAGGCTCTCAGTTTTTCCCCATTGAGGATGATGCTTGCTGTAGGCTTGTGGTAGATGGCTTTAATTATGTTGAGGAAGGTCCCCTCTATACCCATTTTGGCTAGGGTTTTCATCATAAAGGGGTGCTGGATCTTATCAAATGCTTTCTCTGCATCTATTGATATGATCATATGCTTTTTATCTTTTCTTTTGTTGATATGGTGGATTATGTTGATTGATTTCCGAATGTTAAACCATCCTTGCATCCCTGGGATGAATCCTACTTGGTCATGGTGTATGATCTTTTTGATGAGTAGTTGGATTCTATTTGCTAGTAGTTTGTTGAGGATCTTTGCATCTGTGTTCATCAGGGATATCGGCCTGTAATTCTCTTTCTTTGTGGTATCTCTGTCTGCTTTTGGTATCAGTGTGATATTTGCTTCGTAGAAACTGTTCGGAAGTGTTTTTGATATTTCAATTTCGTGAAAAAGCTTAAAGAGCATCGGGAGTAAGTCCTCTTTAAAGATTTGGAAGAATTCACTAGTGAATCCATCCGGGCCAGGACTTTTGTGCTTGGGGAGACTTTTTATTACCATTTCAATTTCCTTGATGGTGATAGGTCTGTTCAGGTATTCCAGGTCTTCTTGGTTCAGCCTTGGGAGTCTGTAGGAGTCTAGGAATTTATCCATTTCCTCGAGGTTTTGATGTTCCGTGGCATAAAGCTTTTCAAAGTACTCCCTGAGGATCCTCTGAATTTCTGTGGTTTCTGTTGTAATGACCCCCTTTTCATTTCTGATTCGGTTTATTAGGGTTTTCTCTCTCCCTTTCTTTGTGAGTTTTGCTAGAGGCTTATCGATCTTGTTAATTTTCTCGAAGAACCAGCTTTTGGTTTCATTGATCTTTCGGATTGTTTTTTGGGTTTCCATCTCGTTAATCTCTGCTCTGAGTTTTATTATTTCCTTTCTCCTGTTCGGGTTGTGCTCCTTTTTTTGGTCCTTCTCCAAGCTCTTAAGCTGTGAGGTTAGGTTACTTATGTGTGCTTGCTCCTCCATCCTGAGGAATGCTTGTAGAGCTATAAACTTTCCTCTTAACACAGCCTTTGCTGTGTCCCATAAGTTTTGGTAACTCGTGTTCTCATTTTCATTCGTTTCTAGGAATCTTTTGATTTCCTCTTTGATTTCCTGTCTAATCCACTCGTTGTTCAATAGTGCACTGTTTAATTTCCAGGTGTTTGATTTAGTTTTCTGTTTTTGTGTGTGATTTACTTCTAATTTCAGCGCATTATGGTCTGAGAAGATTGTTGATATAATCTCTACCTTCTTAATTTTATGGAGGCATGTTTTGTGGCTCAGCATGTGGTCTATCTTGGAGAATGTTCCATGTACGCTTGAGAAGAATGTGTATTCAGCTTTTTGTGGATGAAGTGTCCTGTATATATCTACTAAGTCCCTTTCTTCCATTGTTTCCCTCAAATGAAGTATGTCCTTGCTAAGCTTGAGTCTGGTTGATCTATCAAGAGGTGACAAAGCAGTGTTGAAGTCTCCCACTAGTATTGTGTTGCTATTGATGTCTTTTTCCAAATCTATGAGTAGTTGTTTTAAGTACTTTGCTGGTCTCTCATTAGGTGCATATACATTTATTATTGTAAGTTCTTCCTGTTGTACAGATCCTTTGATCAATAAGAAATGGCCTTCACTGTCTCTTATGACCTTCCTCACTCTGAAATCGATGTGGTCTGATATAAGGATGGCTACCCCAGCTTTTTTATGGGAGCTGTTTGCCTGTAGGATTGTTTTCCAGCCTTTGACTCTGAGTCTGTGTTTGCTTTGACTATTGAGATGCGTTTCTTGCAGGCAGCAGAATGTTGGGTTCAATTTTCTAATCCATCCTGCCACTCTATGTCTTTTAATTGGTGCGTTTAGCCCATTGACATTGAGAGAGATTATTGTTATGGGATTTTGTCCCATTGTTCTGTTAAAATTTGGTGTATTTGAGGGGCCTTTCTTGCCTTAAAGTAGCCCATTTAGTTGTTCTTGTAACCATGGTTTTGAGTCTATGAAGTTCCTGAGCTGTTGTTTGTCTGTGAAACTGTGTGTTGTTCCTTCTATTATGAATGAGAGTCTTGCTGGGAAAAGTATTTTGGGGGAGGCATTTATTTCATTGAGTTTTTTTACTATGTCCCACCACTGTTTTCGGGCCATGAGGGTTTCATCAGAAAAATCAGCTGTGAATTTTAAGGATGCTCCTTTGTAAGAGATTTCTTTCTTCGATCTTGCTGCTTTCAGAATTTTGTCTCTGTCTAAGGTTTTGGTCATTTTGATCAGAATGTGTCTTGGGGTATTTTTATTCGGATTTCTTCTAGCTGGTACCCTTCGGGCCTCCTGAATGTGGTCACAAGTTTTCTTCAGCTCTGGAAATGTTGTAGCAATGATTTCTTTGACAGTTTCTTCTTCATCGAGGTTTTCTTCCTGTCCCTCTGGGACTCCAATAATTCTTATGTTACCCCTCTTGGCTTCATCACGATCTTCTCTTGCCACCAGATTCAGTTTTTACATTTTAGGTGAAGCCCAGGATCTTCACATGAGCTCATTCAAGTCACATTATAATTTTGTTTTCATTTGTTTTGAGGGTGGTTGCTTGTCTGGGCCACATGTAGTGGTGCCCAGGACTGACCCTTGGCAACGCTCCAGGCACCATATGTGACGCTGGGGATCTGAGGGAGGTGGATGTGATGACTGAGAATGGCTGCTGTACTATCTCTCTGGCCCTAATTTAGAATTTAGTGTCCTAAAAACCAAATAAATAAATAAATAAATATATCCTAAATAATACAGATTAAAGTAGAACTATTCAAAGTCATTAGGAGTTCCAGCCAACCATGGCCTAAAAAGCAACAAGAACTGAATAGTCATCAGGGGACCCAAAGTCTGTGTGGCTCATAGCTATGCATGGCAAACACCTTCTTCTGTACTCCCTCCAGCCCTGTGAGAAGCAGTTTTTAAAAGATTACTTGAGTTGGAGAGACAGTGGTATAGCCAGTAAGGAGCTTGCTTTGTGAAATGTGGCAGACTGGCCCAGTTGGATCCTTGACACTGCATGGCCCAGTGAGCACCAGAGTTACTCCTGAGCACAGAGCCAGGAGTAGTCCCTGAGCATTGCCAGGTGTGGTCTCCCATGGCCCTCCTCCACCCTGCTTCCATAGTAATTAAGCTGAAATCCCTACTCCTTGTATATGTGAAAAAATGGTTTATAAAACGATTTAACCCTAAAAGATTTCACTGACTTTCCCTATGTTTTACCTGTCTTGGTTGTATCTCTTAGGTAGCCTTACTCTTCTTTATTTTTTCGCTTGTTTGCTGTTGCCCAAAGCTGTGATGGAGAGACTACAGCTGACCCTGGCCTGGAGCCTGTGTGCAACCTTGGATTCTAACCTCCTTGTTAGTGAACCCCCTCCTGCCACTTGTCACTCCTCCTCCCAGGGTTTCATCTGAGAAAACCAAGGGCTTGGAAAAATATATACAGGTCTGGACTAAGTGATAAGAAAGGTCACCCTGTGTGCGTGTGCTCTGTCATTTTGTGAATGGCAGCACATTGGGATTCCTCATTCCTCTCATTGCTGCCAGCAAATCTCTGCTTACAAGGGTTCAGAGTTTGCTGTGTTATGCTGAAGCCATCTGAAGCATTCATTCAAGCTAAAAATAGGCAGGTTTGGGGTCCCTTTCTCCTGTGAGTACAGCTGTCTTGCTGTCTACCTTCCATTCATTGCATTCGGAGGGTTGTGATGGGCAACGCTGCCCACACTGGTTTGGTTCTGTGTGTAGCTGTCTGGCCGTCTCCCTCCATCTAGTTTATGGGGAGAAGAAAGAACTAAAGGCAGAGGGCTAAAAGATAAAACAGTAGTTCTTTTGTCTGTTTCCTGTTCTGAGGGTGGTGTTGTGTTCCATTTTATGCCATAGATTGTTCTGTTGTTTACAAGTATGCTTAAAAGTCAACTTTTTCTTAGAATCAGTGTTTTTTAGTCTTTCTCCTACCATAGCCCCCTTGCAGTTGGGTTTCCTTTCAGTAGTTCTCCTTGCCTCACCAGTTGGCCCTCTAGTCCTGTGCTGTGTCCATTCCCCACCCCCATTATGTGAAATTTCTCACCTGTGGAGTCCTTGACATAATCTGCAGGTGAGCAGGGGGCCATTTGGTCCCCAGATGAGAAACACTGATTTAAAGGATCCTGCCACAGTGCTTCAGGCCTGTTCTTCACTTCTCATTCTTCCCTCTGCACCGGCCCCCAAATTATAACTCTGTGTCATAAAAGGTCATTGTGTTGTGTGTGCAGTTTGATCTGATTCCCTGACACCATGCTTGAAAACGTATTCTCACTGAATTTATTTCACAAATATTTGTAAGTTATATTTCATTCTGACAATCATCTAAAATAGGTTTCTTATTATATAATCAGCAAAACTCATAAAGCTTGGGTTTAACTGTGTATTTTCCTTCTTAACTATTACCTTTTTGATTTATCTACTTTCTTTTGATGAACTATGGTTGGGAGACCTGCTTTTCTCTGCTAAAGATCTTACAGTAACAGACCCAGATTTAGCCTGTAACCTTAATTAGATGTGGAATGCTGAGAATGCACTGCTGTGGTTTAAAAAAAAAACAACTTTACTGACAAGATGGTAACTTTCTGATCACTTTATTATTTAAACATTTTCTTAAATTTATCTTTTGATCACTTTCTAAAAAAATTATAAACACTAGTCTTTAGCATTTATTTCCCCAGTTTAGTCACAGAAAATTAATGGAAAATTCAAGGAATATTCACAGTTTGTAAAGTTGAACACTTAGTTCTTTTGTCAACAAGCAGTATGTATTCAAACTTAAGGTCCTTAATTCCTCTTCTGTTTTCTCTTTAGAAGCTAAAGAGTGTTGAAAATGTTAAAGGCCGTGCTGAAGAAGAGCCGAGAGGGAGGAAAGGGAAGCAAGAAAGAAGCAGGTACGTGTGTACTGGGTCAGTGGGCTCCCGCTCACTCAGGCTGGGCAGGTTTCATTGCTTCAGAGTGAGTCAGAGATGTGATCTGGTTAGAACAAAGAGAGTGCCAGAGACATGCTGGAGACGGAGAAACTAAATATATTTCTGCGCTTTCCTCTGAGAAGAGACTTTGAAAATTGAGTTTGAGCCGTGAACCCTATCCTTGCCCAGAAAAGTTTTAAGGTTCATAATTTTAACGGGCCATTCAGACCGAGGCAGAGTCACAGACATTAAGGGATAGCAGGTGTGTCCAGGAATTTGGTTTCTAGAAAGCTCTTTCCTTTTCCCACATACGATTGCATTTTATATGTTTGACCAACTGCTGACTGACTGGTTGTCATCTTTTGAGTATCAGATTTTCCTCCTAACAGGTGTGGCCCTGCTCAGTGCCAGACTGTTAGTTTTCATTACCATGAGAGCTACCTAATTTGGCTTGGGTTTCATTCTTGCTTATAGAGTTCTGGTGCATGTGTGGCCCTTGTGACTTTACATCACATTCCATGTGATAAACCACTCCTAGGAGGTTATTTTGGTGACTGCTCTGTGTTTCAGCCCAGTTATTTTGCTAGAAAAATTTTATAATTTTTTAATTATAAAAAAATTTTACTGCTTGCACCATGAAAATATGTTAGCATGGATTAATTTCTCTGAAATATGCCATTCCACTCTGTAATCTTATGTTAACCAGTCATTAGAGAATGGCTGGTTTTCCGACTTGTATATCAAATAACTTTAATTCCAGGAAAATCTTCTTTTTCCATTTCCCTTTGCTGTTGCTTTTAGTCTTGCAGTGTGTGGTATGTCTCAAAGTCGGTGGGTGCTGGGGATGTGTGGCAATGTTATGGATTGAACTACAAGCCTCATGCATGCAGGGCAATCACGCTACTGCTGAGCTACACCTCTCAGTTTAATTTTTATTCAAGTAGAAATTTACTAACAAAATATCACAGGATTATAGTTAACATTTTTCTATCAGTACTCATTTATTTTAAAATTAACATTTGAATTTGAAAGATCTTCATTTATTATATTAAGACATCTTTTTCTATATAATAGATTTTTAAAAAATTTGGTAACTTGGACTTTATCAGGATCCTCCTGTTTGATGTGAGTCAGGTGCCTTACCTGCTATACTCTTTACATGCCCCTTTCCATAGATTTTTTTTTCCAAATTAGGCTTTAAATCAAGTCTTTATAAAATGACAGAATACCTTAAAAGTTATAGGCTATTATAAAGCTGTTAAAATTGCTTTTGGAAGGTTCTTGGTAATGTAAGCAGATAGAAAGAAAATAAGAAGCTGGTATTTAAATAATAGAACAGGAAGACATGGTTAGCTGTTAACCTTATAAAATATGGCTTTGAGTTATTAATTAGAATTGTTACAATGAGAGTCTTCACTTCATATAATACTGATCCAGGGGAATATTTATCCTCTGCTGGGTCCTAGGCAAACTCTGAAGGCTGTTTAATTGACCTCCACCCCTCTGTGATTTTTACTCACCTGCACTCATCTTAGAAACTTCATGTGCTGTTTCAGATGCCTTTGTAATTTCCAGCATAAAGTTCCTAAGCTGTCTGTAGGACTGGAACTGCCAACCAGGGGGTGATTTTTCCCAGGGCCAGGATGTCCATGCCAAAATTCCCTACTTAGTATGTCTTTCACAGTACACCTTCCATCCTCTGACCAGTGCCAGATCGTGTGAAATAACCCATCTAAAGAATGATTGTCAGATCCTTGCTTTTCAGTCAGCTCCTTGCTTTTCAGACAGGACAGACAGTGAGCATAATTTGCACCTGAAACTTCCAGTTTTTAAGCATGGGATTTGGGGGTTTATTCCCCCTTTGGTCTTTATAAACAACTACTGCTTTTTTCTGATCTTTTCTTTTTTTCATAACAATTCCCACACTATGGCTTTTACTAATGCAAACCAACTTGAAAAAGCACTGGGAACATTTCTCACAAAACATCTGTATGGTATGTGCCTTTTCCCTCTTAACTAGAACCTGGTTGTATTCATTGGGGAACAAAGCAGATGGAATTTTAAATCTTAATGAAGTTATGTCACAGGATGATTGAGGAAAATAATTGGAATTTGACCATTTGTATGTTGAGCTCTGTGCCAACTCTCATTATGTAAGTAAATCGTAGCTGTTTCTCTGTAAATTAAAGCTGGCTAATCTACTGCGACTGCTTTGAAACTTCAGTAATAATATCTCCTGCAATATGGAAAAATTTTGCTCTGTTTTCAATTTAACCAATCTTTGTGCAGAGGCAAAGGAAAAATTCATTTTTATATGCTTGAAATCACGACCATAGAAATTTAGAAAATATTTGAATTATTGGGTTCAGCTTTTTCATATCCTTTGTAGATTCTTTTTATAGACAGCCTTTAAACTAAAGTTTTATGATGAACCTATTTTGAGAAGTTGAAAAATATAATCTATGAGTTAAATTTAGTATACTTCCAAAAATGCATGTGTTTTTTAAAAGTATTGACAGATTGTTATCTCCTTAACTCCTATTTGTGAAGGAAAATATCACTTGTATTTTACTTTAAGCTATTGGTAAAATTTCAGCTGGTTTTAGAAGAAAAAAATAAAGGTAAAAATATGAGCTGTACTGAAATTCAGGTTGTATGTGTATAAGAATATCTGAAATCTTAGGTATAGTGAGATAATAAACTATAGAAAGCCATAGAGTGAACTCTGAAATTAACCAAAATATGTTTTGCTTTTAAATCTAGAAAAGGCCTAAAAATGAACAGAAGTGTTTTCTGTAGGGCATAGAAATCATGCCTAGAGAATGCAATAAATTTTCAAAAATTTTCGGGGCAAAAAAGCAATTTACCTATTGCTAATGTTCCATCATTGAAAATGAGCACTATATTTTTCTATGACCTTAAGTTAGACTAATGGGGGTAAATCAATATTAAACCATAATGTGGGGATGACCAACCAAGCTTCTATTTTGTTCTTTCCTTGTTCTTATGATACCTTAATCTAATACAAGGAAATTAGGTGTTATCTTTATTTTGAAGTTCTCCAGAGAAATCTATAGTTATCTACCACATCTCTCTCTCTCTCTTTTTTTTTTTTTTGGTTGGGCAATATATTTTTTTTTGCGGGGGACCCAAATTTTTTTAATTAATTTTTGTTAGTGAAACACCATGAGGTACAGTTGTAGACTTACAAATTTTTGTGCTTGGGTTTCGATTATACAATGATCAAATACCCATCCCTCCACCAGTGCCCATTTTCCACCACCATGGATCCCAGAATCCCTTCTCCCCACCCCCCATCCCACCCTGCCTCTGCGGCAGGGCATTCCCTTTTGTTCTCTCTCTCTCCTTTTGGGTGTTGTGGTCTCAGTGATTGCCATTGAGTGACAATCCTGTTTGGTCTATAGTCTACTTTCAACATGCATCTCCCATCCTAGGAGGATCCTCCAAACACCCTTTATTTGGTGCTCCCTTCTCTATCTGAGCTGCCCTTTCCCCTAGAATGCCCGGCTGGCCTCTAAGCCATGGAGTAATCCTCCTTCTACCACATTTCTTAAGTAACTTTTACCAGAAACTTTTAGGTTATGGTTATTAAAATTTTAAAAATTTGGTTGAAAAATGAAGTGATTCCTTACTCTTAATATGTTTTGATATCACTATGAATCTAACAAAACTTAAGGTGATTGTGTATAAGCAACATAGACAGTCACTTTTCTGTATAGCAGCACTATTTAGAAAGTGAATACAAAGAAAAGACCTCATTTTACAAAAGAAATAAACTTTATCAACCTAAGAGATGTTTAAGCTTTAACGTTTCAAAAGTATATTTGTATATCTATATATATACATATATATATATCAAAACTTTACTAGGGACTTAATGGAAGACCTGAATAAATGAGAAGAAATATCATAATCCTGTATGGGAAGATTCATGATTTTCAACCAACTAGCTCTTACAACTAGGGCTGGAACGATAGCACAGTGGATAGGGCATTTGCCTTGCACAAGGCTGATCCAGGTTCGATTCCTCTGTCCCTTTCAGAGAGCCCGGCAAGCTACTGAGAGTATCCTGCCCGCACGGCAGAGCCTGGCAATTTCCTCGTGGCGTATTCAATATGCCAAAAACAGTAACAACAAGTCTCACAATGGAGATGTTACTGGTGCCCACTTGAGCAAATTGATGAACAATGGGAGGACAGTGCTACAGTGCTAAGCTCTTACAAAATTATCCATACATTCAGAGGAAAATAGATTTTCTGCCTCCACCTCCTTCATTATCAGTATTACCTCACCACAGTGTAATATTGCTTGCAACTTGTGAGCCTACACAGTGACATACCATACCCAGAATTCATGGTTTATAATAGGCTTTACTTTGGTATATAGTTTTTGGCTATGGACAAAACTATAGTGCCTGTATTTGCTACTAATAATCTTTTAACTACAATAGCCCTGTCATTAAAATGTTTTGGTTTGTTTTAAGCATAGTACAATCAGTTGATTAAAAAATTCATCTTGAAGAGCTGGAAAGATTCTACCTTGCATGTATCAGACCCAGGTTTGATCCCTGGAATCACATTCCTTCTCCAACATTGCCTCATGGTCCCTCTCCAAGCACTGTTGGGGTGACTTTGGTGGTCTCTGTCACTGCAACACTATAGCATGGGCCCTAGGACTAAACTGATGGCCTGGTTGGCTATTACCAGGAATGTCTTCCAGGTCCCCTAAGCGCCAGCACGTAGGCCCCTGCCAAAAACAAACCACACACACACACACACACACACACACACACACACAAATTCATCTTGCGGATAATATAGGCTTAGGGTATATTAGAAAGTGGGGCATATGAATGAATCCAAATGGCTGAGCCATGTATGGATTCTAGTTGCAAGAGAGTCTGGGCAAGTGTATACTTTCAGCATCTGTAGGACACGGTAGAACATACCTCCCAGCAAGAT